TAATCCCGACTCTCTCTGAGCAAATCTGCACTTTACGAGCAATTTGAGGACATTTAGGAGAAAAAGTTTCGTGGAAAAAAAACCACGCAGAATCCAATCTAATCTCTTGTGCAAGTTTCATTGACTATCCGCTGGAAATTATGAGTCTCTTAGCAAGTACCAGCACCCCCGCCACGATCTGGCGCACATCCCGCTGCGTTCTCCACTTCAGTGTTTGCCGCTCGTCAGTCAAAAGCTCCTCTGATGTGAAAATTAAATGTGTAAAAAGAAAAAGAGAGGCAGACAGACTGTGCCTTACATGTGCGGGAGGCACAGGTCAGCCGCTGCATCGAGACGGTCTATTCACGAGGAAGATCTTTTTAATTAGGCTATGTCCTTTTAATTAAGCAGCCGGCATAATGTCTGTGTCCATTTGTCACCCCCTCGCTTTTTGCTCAGGCGGGGCTCGGGTGGAAAAAAAAAATACCCTCTTTTGTCTCCTCAGAGTTCCAGAGGTCCCTGCTTCCTATTATACATCCTCGTTCACTGAAATGTATTTTTTTTTTTCCTTCTCTTTCAGATTAGCATGATAATACCCCATGGAGGGGAGGGAAAGTGGTAAAGAGCTATTGCGGGGCTGCTCATCAGACTCACTGTGTGCGAGACCGTGGTTATTATCATGCTGAATGCACCATCAGTTAAACTAACAGCCTGAATTCCGACATTTATCTCCAATATCATAGACTGACTGTCAATTGCAGGGGGGAGCACAATGGCAAATTACAGGTTATGTCTTGCTCCTTGGTGCCTGGATCTTTCCCCAGTGTAATTATGCTATGCTAATTCTGCCCCCTCCGTCTCCATGCACTTCCCATGACAGAAAGAAGGCTTCCCATGTGTTGGGGTATGAAATGAAATATGAGTGAATAACTGTGTTGATTTGCACACCGGCGTTGCCCCGCGAAACCCGACCGTATCCTCCGTTTCCCCCCTTCAGGCTCTGGGGGGCGCGAAGGGCTCAGCTTGTAGCCGTGTTTCCAGAGACGGGGTCGCGTGCAGGTCAGGCCACCTTGAACTCCTCAGCTGGATTTATTGTGTCGGAGGTGGACGGGGTCAGAGCGCGCTCCTCCCCTCCGACACGAGGACTTTGTTAGCGTCGGACACGGAGCAGACAAATCCCTGTCACGCTCTCCGAGTAGAACCCTGCAGGGGTCAGAGGTCCCGTGTTAAAGGGGGGGCGTCGCCGTGGCATGACCTGAATACTGATTGATTTCCTCGAGTGGGCGTCGAGGGAGGTGGAAGGGGGTCCTGTCTGGTGATAGCAGGGACGGGTCAGGCCTCTTAGCCCTTACCCCATGTGGCGACGTGGAGTTGGGGAGCGCGATACAAAGGAAAGGGGAAAAGACACCACAACATGCCGGACTCCTCTGCCCGGCTGTGCACCTCGGTGGGTGTGTGTTTTCACTTTCCCTGAAACGAGACACCAGACCACATGTTTCCCTTCAATAGACAGCTGAGCGGAGAAAGGGCAGGCGTGTGGTCTGTTTGCCATTTGGCGGGAGGCAGAGGAGGCCTCGCTCTCCAGCGCTTCGTGTAGATTTATTAGTTGTTCAGAAATGCACGAGCATGGTGGCCGCTGACGGTCGTATCGCTCATTCAATTAGCAAATCCAGTTTTCATGCAACCAGAACAGGACCGTGCTCCGTCGTAGTCGTTCCTTTTAGCGATGATACTGTCGGCTAGAAAATATGGTGAGATCGGACAAGAATCCTGAGACTTTAAATAAACCGACAGGGTGGCCAAATTTATCTTAAATAAAAAACCAAACATAAAATCACACACGCTGCCAATATTTATTAGACTGACTTCCTGTGTTTCTTTTAACCTCTTGTACTACCAGAGTACATTTTGTCTTTGTTTCTCTAAAGCTCAGATTGATGTCGCAGCTAATTTGAGGCTAACTGTCATAAAAGCAGCCAAAAATATTTTAAAAAGAAATGCAAAAGTTGCTCAGACGACTAATAATATGGTCAAACTACACTAATGCATAGAAAAGAGGAGAAAAAAAGGTGAAAATATGTAAATACAGAATCGAAAATGCATTAAAATAATCCGTCAGCCGCTGTTTTGACCTTTGAAGTAAGTCGTCTTTATTTTTAGCTCGCTTGGAGCCAAGAGGCCACTGAATTATAAATAAGTGATAATCATCTGCCGATAGTGGTCAGAAGTTTGACTTCTTCCTGAACTCCTGGTGATATTTGAGCAGCAGTTTTGGACTCGCACGAGTCTAATTTTGATGCATTTCCAGAGGACAAGTTGTAATTACGAATAAAAGTTCGTCCTTATCGAGTATCGGCGCGATGCCATTTAAATGTCTCCCGTCTCCTCCAGTGAAATAGAAAAAGGTCACAAATCTGACTGAAACATAGAACTCATCATCATCATCATCATCGTCAAACCTACGTTTTCTCCGTCGGGGCGGTTGTGATATTTGAACTTGTTTCTGCTTGAAGACGTCTTTGTGTCCTTTCACTGAACCCCCAGTAAATAAAAGACCTTTCACTGTGTTGTTATTGAGCTGAGATCAGATTGACCAGCGATTAATCCACAATTCTAAGGGTTTGGTTGATCAAAAGCAGTGTCTGAGCTTTGAAGCTTTAAAAATGTACTTTATGTTGACACCGGCCCTCCTGGGAGTTATGATAGATTTTGTTCTTGAAGTGTTCGACCTGTAATGGACTTTGGATGATTCTCAGGACCGTCTGATGCCGATCCACAGCACGGTTCATGCACTCTGGAGTTCTGATACATCTTCCTGCGTGGAGCCGAGTTGATTCCCTAAATGCCACGAGGGTACGGTCAACAGGCGAAGGGAGTGTGTGATGAAAACTGTTCCTCCCTCTGTTTGCCTTGTAAACCCCACCAAGCTGCTGCTTCAAGTATATTCAAATAGACACAACGAAGCGCTGCTCAACACAAGCTAATCATTCCTCCAAACACATGTCCGTGTGCTATTAATTGGAGCCGATCTAAGCGGAGCGCCTGCGATATCATCCCCCCGTCTGGTGTCTGTTGGCTTCGATCAATAGACTCGTCATTCCACAACGCACGAGGTTGGAAGTCAATGCATCCGTAATCGATTCTGAAGATTGCTAAAAGCTCGAGGTAGCCCAAGCAAGCAAACAAGTGAAGCAAACATCCAGCCCGGCCGTCCAGAGGCCAGCGCATCGATTTGATTGCTCCTTCAGTTGTGGCTCCAAGTTGTGGTTTTTGAAATTGTTCAATTGCACGTTGAAGGATGCTGTTTATGCATTTCGTCAGCCGTTGATTCGGAGCCCAGGCTCGACCGGAGCACATCGGTCAGGGAAGCATTTCTCTTTTTTCTTATGTTCGATTCACACGCTCTAGAATAGATTACCGCAACCTTGTAAAACACAAATCTGCCTCACTAGTTGTTTTTTCTTTTACTATATTTGTCCATAATACAAAAAAGTTCTTTAGGTTTTTGCTGCTTCTGCTGCTAGTTTTGAAGTTCAGTGTTGCTCCAAACCGACTTGTGAGGCTTTTTCAAGAGTCTTGTCTTCTGTTCCCCTTGAATCGCTGCTGAATCATGACAGATAACATGTTAGTAATGTTGGTAATTACACCATATTGTACATTCTTCTTAGTCCTGTTCATACAAACACACATTATATTAATCTGGATAGAATCACGGAGCAATTTGTAGTCCAGGCACTTTTAAGTACCCCAGAGATAGCCTGAAACCTTTGTTGTTCCTGGACAGGAGTTTGTTTTCCACTAGGCCTTATCTGCTTTTGATGCTTTGCTTGTTTTTTTTCCAGGCTGTACTGTAAGTTCCTCCAAACGGTGAGCCACAGACCCTTATCGATCAACATCTCACTCTATACCAGCGAAACAGGAAAATAATGACCACATTCCTAATGGTATCACGCTACCTGGGATAGGCTGTTACTGATACACAAAACAGCAGTTGTACTTTCCATCTGGGACTTTGTGGTCCTTTTGTCAAAACAAAGCGAACTTGAGAGCGTGCCGGAGAAAAATAAGCTGGCGAGCTGGGCTCGGCTTTAACCTTAACTGAACCGTCGTCGGCATGTGGCTGCCAGCTGGAGCGCTCGCTAATCCAGAGGATGCTGCCTCTGCAAGTCCTCCCGATGCGTGCCGGGTTTGAGGTCGAAACCTTCATCGTCGCCGTTTGTCGGAATTAGTCTTTGTGCAGGTGAAGATCCAAGTAGGTCATCGCAGCATCTCCAAAAGGCTTGATGGTTTTGGAGAACAGGAAGTGGAATTCCAAAACAACGACAACGATTATTGGGATTTCCTTTGCCACAAACTCTTTTGCTCTTCTGAGATCATGCGTGAGATTGAACTGCTGATTGCTTTTTTTATTTTTAAAGCTAATCGGCAGTCGGAAATTAAATATTTTCGCTATATGTTGTGGAAGCAGCTCCTTCAAAAGCAGAGAAAGTTGCTCGTCATCGCGAGTCAAACTCTCAGCTATTCAGTTTTTGCAGATGGCGTGTTTTTTTTTTGGTAGCATCGCACCATATTAAACTGTTTCGGGTTGTGCACTGGCAAGGTGAAGATGTTTTTTTTTTTTTTTCTGGGAGCAGATTGCCAGAACAGACTGTGAGCTGAGATGCCATCATCAGATTTGGCTAGTTTGAGCTCCGGGATTTGTCAAAAGATTTGGTTCACTTATTGCAAAAAGCAACCTGTTTTTTTCCATCTCTCTCCACAAACAGCATTTTCAACCGTCTCCTCTCCCCGGAGTCGAAAGCGAGCTTTGCATTTTCATGTCACACTTTGGCATTTTCCCGCTGAAGGTGAAGGTTTATCCGGCATTAGCGGTCTTTGTCATTGTTATTCATAGTTTGGACTTTTACCGTTGCTTGATGGAAAACAACTGTTCACAGGAGCTTAAGTTGCATCACTGTAAGCCCGTCGCACATTATGTTTGAGATGTATGTGAGCGTCATCTCCCGTTTTTTCCTTCACAGATCCGCCGCCGGCTGCAGCCTGTGCGTCAGCCGGGTGTACTCACCTGCTCGGTGGATCGCCACAAGCCAGCGGACTGTTTGAGAAACGGTAAGGAATGCTGTTTCCTTTCTAAGATAGATTAATTAAAAAAAGTTGAAGATTAGATTTGGAGAGTCTTCATTGATCTTTCAAACGCAGCATTTAGATTGAACAGAATATAATTCGGACAGAGGAAGGCCTGCTTTCTGGGAGACATCTGCAGAGACCACTTAATTAATGGAAGAACTGCTACTGCAGCTTTTTAAAATAAGTAATTGAGTAGCGAATATCTATCTACTCATTTTAATCAAAGGCCAGGAATTAGAGCTTAAATATTTGACATACTTTTTTCAAGATGTTTTCAGTCACTCGGTGCATGAAACACACATTTAGTCCAGTACATTTGTGTTATGTACGGCATGACAGGGTCTTAATCCTAATATTTAAACTTGCTGAGTACGTGTTGAATCTTATGTGTCGGCTCAGCGTTGTTTAAAATGTGCTGTATGAATAAGAGCGCCTCGACCTGAGCGCTGTGTGGGTCGGCGTCCTGCATGGTTTCATGTGTGAATCTATTTTCTGTCAGAGTTGTAGTGCTTATAATAAATTGGAGATTTCTGACTGAGCTTTTTTTTTTTATTCTTTTCTCTGCTAGTTTGAATTTGGCGAGGCTCAGTTGATGATGAATGCGATGACATATGGGGCTGTTTGCTCACACTGCCAGAGAGAGGAGATGTTTGTCGGCTCGCACAGATCACTCGTCGGAGAGCTGGCAGACGGAAAGCGAATTGTAAACGGGTTTCTTTAAATTAAGAAGGAGAGGAGTCACTTGTGCTGATGAACTGCAATCATCGCCGTTCTTTAATATCCTCAGGGGGAAAAAGAAAAACAACCGCACATTGTCTCCTCAATCATCGACGATCGATAATTGCAAATTGGCACATGCCTGGTGCGAGGCCTCGTCGATGTTTTCCGGCGCCGCGAGCTTCGCCGCCGGGCAGTCGGTGGGAAAACAACTGCCCGAAAGAAACTTGTAGAATCAGTGAAAAGCTATTGTGTCTGGTGGAGCATCTCCCCAGCGGGTTTGAATGTGGACAGTAGAGGACAGGGCCAAGGAGCGTCGATGACAGGACGCCTCATGGGAAGGCTGGAGACAGATGGCTGGCCAGATGCAGGCCTGCTGTGACCTTGAACGCATCCGAAGGTAAAAGCAGCAAAAAATGTCTCGAAAACAAGCAGCAGTGGACAATACGGCGATTCTTTCTCTTGTTGTTGTCAGACTTGTATTCTGTTCTGAGTCCGTCGTCAGCTGATTTTCTTCGGCGGGTTCCTCATCAGAGGTTAATTTTTTGGCACTTTCGGTTTGTTTGGATTCACGCCGTTTGAGCTGAAGTCATCCGTGGCTTGTAAACAGGACAAACGGAAAACTCACTGACTTGCATTTAATTGAATAAAGGTTATAACAACCTGCGGACCTGTTTGAGGTTTGGTCTTGCAGGGAGGTCACCCTTCACCGAAGCACCGTGGACCTGTCTAAGCTCCGTTCCATCGTTTACCTTTTCTGTTATACACACCGGTTAAAAATGCACGGAGCTCGTAGCCGCTTATAAACATCAGCCGAGCGTTCGTCTTCGCTTCCTCCTGCTATGCTCGGCATGCGAGCTCGGGGAACCGCTAACTATCAGTTGTCAGCATCCGCTTTCTTATACCCACTAAGAGTCTCTGTGAGAATTTGGTTTTACTCATGGGGATGTGTTCTCACCAGGGTGCCAATTAGCAACGTTTTCTAGTTAATCTGACAACTAATTAACTCATTAGTGTGTAAAATGTGAGAAAGAGGCCCAGAGTGACTTTCTGATAACTTCTGTAAATTGTTTTGTCTAAACTTTGTCGCTCTTCTGAGAAAACCTGCAGACGTGTGGAGCTGCTTTATGAAATTGTTTTGATGAAGATAAGTGACCAGAGTTATTGCCAATCAGCTTCTTAATTTATCAACATTTATTTTCAGCTTCTCACTATGCATTCAAATGTAGATTCGACAACCACGTGCAGAAGAGCTGTCAGACTTAATCTTTTGAAAACGCCCAACCTTTTGGACTTACGTGTGTGTGTGTTGTTTTTATTTATTGTATTATCAAATCAAGTTATTGTCATGTTGCTGCACATACACAGTAGTACAGGCAAGAGGAGAGAGCGTTTCTTCAGGATTATTCAACCAGCAAGTTTTGCAGAATGAACGTCTGGGATAAGACACTAAACGTTCACTCTCGCACTGGGGGGCGCGTCCATGTGCGCCGCCATCACGTTAAACATGGTGAACCTCTTCAGGTCCTGGTAGGTCTTCAGGGACACAAAGACACACACGATGCTGCCCAGAGCTGTCTGTCTGTCTGTCTGCATCCCCTCCAGCTGTCTGTCCGTCTGGGATGTTGTCATGGAGCCATGTTTCTGTTAAAGCAGACACACAGCAGTCCCTCCACTCTCTGAGGGTTTCTCTCAGCAAACGTCCAGCTTGTTGGACTTGGAGCGGATGTTGGAGAGCAGGAGGACGGTCCTGCTGGTCTGGAGGGGTTAGCCTTTAGCCTAGCATGGATCCTGCTGGTCTGGAGGGGTTAGCCTTTAGCCTAGCATGGATCCCGACTCTCTTCTTCCTCCTTTGTTTACGTTTGCATCACTTCCTTCTCTCTCGGGTAACTGCTAGCGTATCGGACTCCGTGTTGGTGTAGTTTGTCCACATCACAACCGATCATCGCAATTCCAGCACCCACGCCCAGCAAAGTCTCCCGGCTGCAAGTTTTGCAGAGTGAACATCTGGGATAAGACACTCAGAACGTTCACTTTCGTCGTCTCCTAAAGGGGGCGCCGTGTCTATCAGATTACATTCCAGATTTGACAGGCAGATATGAATCCATACAAGTGGCTGCATGTTTTAAAAATACAGCGTTGGTAAAGTCACTTGGCCACTTGATTGTTGAAAGAACTGAGTGAAGCTTACACGGGCGCCGGCTGAACAGTAGCGATCTTATGTCAATACTGGAGGAGACGCACCCCCTGATGCAATTCAGGCAGCAGCAGACTGTGAAGCAAACGCCACCAGCATCAGCAGCAGCAGCCTGATATTGCGCAGGCCTCCGGGGGCTTTGAACACAGCAAAGGGAGAGCCATGATCAGAGCTGGGAACTGGTGGATGGTGAGCCGGGGGTGGGGGCTCTTTCTGTGAGAAATAAGAGGAGATGGAGGAGGGTGGAGGTGTCAGGCGTATAATTGGGGTGAGGAGATCTCTGGGGTGGATAGAGGGAAGCTTTATTAAGACCGCTCAAGTCTGATGTGCTCGCACGGCCGCCGAGCTCTCGCCTGCACACCCACGCCTCCGGGCCAGTCCTCCATCTCCACCAGAGACTCTGTAACAACAAAGGGATGAAGGCCAAAGTCCTCGAGCTCCTTTCAGTCACAGATAAGACAAAAGACCCCATTACTTGAAAAGCGCTGATGGCGAGGCGGCGGCGTATAAATCTGCCTCCTCTTTTAACTCAAGGCCTATTGTTCCTTCTCCACTTTAAAGCTAACTTGCTATCACTTATTGATAGCGCCGCCGTATCCCGTCCGGAGATGCTGTAGATTTTGTGATTAAGCTGGTTTTTTTTTTTTACTACAGCCCTCGTTCTCTTTGCCTGTTTACTTAAAACATGATTTTCTTGCATTAGGCGTGCGTTTTTACACTCCGTTTTTTTCGACTGCGATCCGGCGACGACAACACGGAGAGCAGCGCGTTCATGAAATATTTACAGCCCAAAGTGCAGACAAATATCGGAGCTCAGAGCGGATGAAAGGGGAATAATCTCTCTTGTTTTGGCTCACGAGGGAAAACAAACTTTCCGGGGTGACTTCCCCTCCGCGACTGATCGTATCGAGCCCGATGCCGAGATTACCAGCTTAACCGCTTATTTTCCACCGTTCTGCGAAAACCTTGCTTTCGAGTCGACGGAGTTCCCGTATCAATAATTGAATTCTTTGTAAAGTCTGCATACTTCCTTGATTTGCAAGAAAAAAAAAGTGTTTGCCGTCTCACAAAAGCAGATTTTGTCAGCGACACAACAAAGAAGTTGAAGCAGGAGGCGGTTATGGCGAGAATTAGCCGACTCCCCCAGTTCTCTGCTGTAAATTGGTTTCTGTGGAACTCGTGAAAAAAAAAAAAGGGGAGCTGGAGGTCTGTTCTGTGCTTCCTTAGTAGCTTGTTAATCCCCCCACAGCGCCGGCCGGAGGGAGACTCACGCACACACTCGGCCCTTGTGGAAAATGGCGCCACTCCTCCTCCAGCCCTCTTTCGTCCTCTTTCCACTCGGTCCTGCAGGGCTTGGCTAATCCTCTGCCTGGTCATGGCGGGGAGATTGCAGGCTTTTTTTTTTTTTCAAAGCTGGCTGGACTTCAAAGTTACAGGGATACAGGGACTCGAGGAGGTGGGAGGAAAATTAGGTCCACCGCAAGCGAAAAGACTGCGAGGAGGGGGTTCACCTCGGCTTTTTCTTTCGCCGTTCTGGAGGTGACGCTGAAAAAAACGCTCACGAGAGGCTGCTGATTGGAAAGACAAAGCCACGGGGTTTTGTTTTGAGACAACACGCACAAAACTTATGCAACGAGAAGAATCTAAAATGATAATAAGAAACACAAACATGAGGCTGAAGCTGGATGGAAAAGTTCTCTCACTGCTGCCAACGTCCACAGTGCAACGAAAGGTTGCGTACAACAAATTAGCCTGACAGTTTTTTTCCTGTTGAGAAAGTTCGTTTACCTTGGAAGTCCAGTAGTTTCTGAACTCTGTCGTACCTTTTTTTTCCTTTTATGTGGGACTAATCTCACTGAGGTCTCGTCTGTTTGGTATTACTCAGCTGGATTTCCTGGATATCCGATGCCCAAGATTTCGCCGTTAATCTGGTCTTTGTTGCGGCTTCGGCTCTGATGTTTCAATCGAGAATTTGCTCCGATATATTTTCCTTTAACCGGTTTCCCTAATCTAATAGAAATATCTCTGTTAAATTCTCCGACAGCACAAAGAAAGATTAAAGCGGGTT